GTAATGAACGACGTAGCTTCCTCATCAAGTCAGAACATGGGTATCTGGTTATACCCTGAGTATGCATCTATGAAGCTCAATAGCTCATGTCCAGCAGTAGAATCCACAAGTTGATCTATTCTTGGAAGTGGGAAGTTGTCTTTGGGGCACGCCTTATTTAAGTTCGTGAAGTCTACGCATACCCTCCACTTTCCGCTGGGCTTTTTCACCAAGACCGGGTTGGATATCGACCTGGGGTAGATGGCCTCTCTTATGAAACCACTGCGGCTAAGTTTGTTCACTTCGTCCTTCAGTGCCTCGTACCTTTCCGAATTGAGGGCACGCCTCTTCTGTCTATGGGGGGCATAGGAGGGGTTGATGTTAAGGTGATAGCAACTGATCCTAGGATCTATTCCCACGATATCTTCATGTTTCCATGCGAAGACATCCAAGTTCCCTTTCAGGAAGCTTATCATCTCTGTTTTTGCTTCAGGGGACAATGACTTTTCTATACGCAAGACCTGACTGGGGTCTTCTGGATTGGCGGGGAAAGTCTCCAATTCTTCCATTGGGGTCGCATTTGGTTCAGAGTCAATTATTCGGGGATCTAACTCATCAAGAGGGTGTCCTTGTTCAGGGGCCTCTTCTATATCGACGTTTCCCTCTTGTTTAGAGGTATGCCCTTGTTCAGGGGCGTCGAGCATTTCCACGTCTGTACTGACTTCAGCGGGAACCTCAGTTAGGATTACATTAACAGTTCGGGGCTCGAACTTTCACTGCGAGTTTAAATAGCATGCCCTGGAGCCCATCTGATCGCCTCGGACCGTAGCAATCCCATGTTCGATTGGAAATTTCATGCACAAGTAGGGGATGGACGTGACAGCCCAAAGGTCTTTCAAAACGGGTCTGCCCAATACTCCATGATATGCCAATCTGTGATCTACCACCAAAAATTCCATGAAGTGCTGGGCCACTAGAGGTGCTGAACCCATCTCGACGAGCAGAGTGATCCGCCCTCGTGGAACGATGCTGTCCCCAGTGAATCTAAATAGTGGGTCGGTCATGGGGATCAACCCATCTTCAATTTGCATTTTGTCAAAAGTGGAGCCGAACAATATGTTCACGAAATTGTCATTGTCAACGAGCATGCGTTTTAATCCGTTCCTAGCCACTACGGCTCTTACAACCAATGCATCACAATGGGGGTGGTGAACCCCCTTTGAGTCTTCCTGGGAGAAGGTGATTGGGGCCATCTTATCTGCTGCTTGCGACTCGTTGATAATGTAAGTGATCATTGGTGGGTCCTTTGCTTCCCTTGTGTAATTTCTCTGGACATTCCTGGTGTTGCCACCGACGTGGGGTCCCCTAATGATAGTATCGATTTCCCTGATGACCTGGCTCCTAGAAAATTGGGCTTGGTTTCCCTGTCTTGATTGACCTCGGTCCCTTGATTCTCTTCTCCGAGGCGATTGTTCCCTGTGTCCTCTATCCCCCCTCCTCGGGGAGGTGGATCTGCGAGGATATTCGTTCCTGCTGGAAGGGTGTGGGTTGCTTCAATCAGGGCGTCGATTGGCGTCTCGGCACTCATTAATGTCATGTCAATAGAGTTGATGGAATGTACAAAATCTTGCCCCTTCCAAGGGTTTGTTTGACCTCTTCTTCTTTTTCTTCTTGTTATCAGCTCTTCCAGATGGTCCTACTTCGACAGGGGCTACATTCAATGTGGCGGAAGCCAGGGGCCTGTCCGGATGTGGGAGCTATTGTATGACCTGCTTGGGTCCATTGTTGAGTAACAATGTGTGCTGCGGGTCCTCGACCTACCTGCCTCTGAGGTGGAGGGAGTCCCTGCGCGGCACTGTTGCGATAATCAATCATTTCTTCACTAACAATTTCCACTCTCATCATTTCCACCAGCTCGTCATATGTGGAGGGATTCTTGCTGCGCACGTCCCTCCAGAACAAAGTGTTCATGTTGAGCCCACCTTTCAAAGCTGAAAGGGCTTCTCTGTCAGTGACCTGTTCACAGTAGGTGATTTCGTCTGTAAACCTAGTGAGATAGCTTTTCAGCGTCTCCCCAGGGGCCTGCCTCATATCTTGCAGGCGTTGCACTGATGCCTTTCCTTCCCTGCGTGAGAGGTACTGGTTCAAAAATGCTTTCTTCAAATCTGGCCAACTTCTGATGCTTAGGGGAGGAAGCCTGCTGTACCATACTTCGGCGGCCCCGCCTAGTGTTACATGGAAGGCTCTGCATTTCAAAGCGGGCGAGGCTCCCCTTAGGCTCATCTGTGTCATGTACTTGGTGAGGTGCTTCTCCGGGTCTCCCTTTCCTTCATACTTGGGGATCTTAAGGGGCATGAAATTTGCTGGCATTGGGAAGCTTCGGATCTCTCTTGAGAATGAGAGGTTATCATCATCATCGTTAATCTCATAAGATCGACAGGGCCCATTTGACCCTTCATCATCTTGAATGTTCTTGGGAAGTGGAGGTGCTTCTCCTCGACTTCCCCAATCAACTAGGTTCCTCCTGTCCCTCCTATTTCTAGGAGGAGGAAAAGGAGCCTGTTCTTGTTCCTGATCTGGACGAACCGATCTTCTCATCGGACGGACCCTATTGCAGGGTCCTACCCTATCTGGTCGAAGACGCTTGCCGACCTTTGTTCCCCGTATCCTTGAGAGAAACTGTCCCCCAATTGTGATTCTCATGGTTGGCTCCCTTGCACATAAGATGTGGCTTCGGCGTTCATCTCTCTTTCGAGGGGACGTTCTGTGTGCCGGCTCATATGGCGTCGGGAGTGAGATACAGAGGCTTCCCGCACCGGATAAGATCATTGGGGCATTTGATAACCCTGATGATCCTGGGCTTGCATGAGGAGTTTATGCATTGCCATATTCTGAATTGCGATGTCTCTCATATCCACAGCTATCTGAGCCATTCCATCAGTGAGTATGGTTGTTTTTCCACCTCGGGGACGCCGGTGATGTGGTCTCTGATGAGTAACATTGTTATTGAGTACCTCTTCTTCAGAGGCCTCTCTCATGGGGTTGTCGCCTTCATGGCTATAACTCATCCTATCTCCTTTTTCAACGGTAGTGAGAACTTGGATTGTAACTTGACTTTGTTCTTTCTCAAGAACGTCCCCTTTTCAGAGTTAGTCGCAAGTTTTTCAGTAACTTCTCCGGTGGAGAATGCAAAACTTCAAACGGGAAGCATTCCCACAGACGGCGCCAACATGTTGACCTAAAAAATTGGACCTTCCAAGTGGCCAATCGAGAGCTACTCAACGTATTCCTCCCTGTGCACAATCAGCGAACGTACCCAGGGGTGGTGGCGATCGTATACACTCTAACGGTCAAGTCAAATTTAGGTGGTCGGAACAGTACCCAGGGGTTGTGCAAAATAATGATAAGGGGGAGGAGAAAATATATAAGCTTGCTATGGAGTGCTATGTAGTAAGAGTTTTATTACCTCTGCCTCTTGCCAAACCTTGGGTATTTATAGGTGAGATGAGCCGTTGGATGTGGGACACGTGTATATATTTGACGGTATGAGGCATTCGCTCATAGGCGTCAATCAGCTGCGTCTGTAGAGTGGGCGGACAGCTTGTTTCTCCTGAGTTGAATTGACATAAAGTTGATAAGTCACATCAACTAACCTCATCGAGACGTCAAATCAATTTAAACCTTAGATGTAAGGAGGATCTTGGCACAAATTTCTTTCTGAAATCGGCGGCGGATCTTCTAACAGGGGTCCACTTGGCCTCGGCCTTGGGGGCGAGGTGCTTCGATCAGGTCAGTAGTAGGGATCGCCTGTACTTCGCAGCGTGCTACCAGGTTGTGGACATTGGTGATACCACTTTGGAAACACTTCGGACGTGTCTTTATCAGATCTGAACATATGGTGGTTGGCGTTCCGAAGCAGTTCAGATAGGGGCGTAACAAAGGTGAAAAGGTTTGAATTCAAAATCAAACAACTCTCTTAAACTCACTTCAAGAGGTTACCGATCGATAAGTCACAGACAATCCGAACTCATTTTTTCGATTGATTAGGATACACATGGTCGATTTAAAGTTTGTATTCGAATTTATTAACACCATCAGTGTGCTACTATAGACAAGCTTTAAACTTGCTCTTCATAACTTCACTTAAAAATAAATAAATAAATAAATAAAATTCGCTCTTATAATAATAGAAATTAATCTTATGTTGTCAATGGACAAGATAAAAACTTTAGTCTATGAATGTTCTTTTACTACATCTGTGAGGATCTACCCACTAAGGACAAGAGATCTACTTATAGTTATAGCCCTTATTTGAGTCTTATTCTTTGGTAAAAATGTATTTTTAAATAGTATTTCGACATCATTTTAATCACAATTCTTCAATAAAATATTATTACACATAAATTCAAATTTTTTTCTTATTTTTTAATCACACATTTTACATCATTGTATTATTTAAAATTATATTTTAATGGTAAAAATGAGGCTTAAACAACGACATGGTAAATAATGGCAACAACTATTTAACCCAGAAATTTTCTGATATCACACGTGGCAGCATCTCATTCCTCTTGCCAGCACACCCCATTTAAATCCAACGGCCAGAAAATTCCCTCAGTGTTTCACTCGCCTGCATTTAGCCAGCAGGCGAATTCAAGGGCCGAAAATTCCCCAGCTACTCAAGTACAGGCAAGATCCAGCGGGTTGAGTACGCAATGAGCATCGTCATTTACTTAAAGGGCAATCTTGTTATTCCAGGGAATAATTAATGGCAATCTGGACATTAAATCACAATGGCGTTAGTAGCCACTATGGATTTGTTTGAGCTCCATTTTCTTCCAAAAAAAAAAAAAAAAAATATATATATATATATATATATATTTTTTTTTTTCAAATAGTATTATTATAGAAAATGTGTTGTTAAAAAATAAGAAAAAATTTTAATTTACATTTCATATTATTTTATTAAAAAATATGCCATTCAAATGAGGTCAAATCATATTCATTGAAAAGGGGTTCAAACAAGTGCTATATAAACAACAACAACTCACGAATTTCATCCTCCCGAAAAACTAATCAATTTATCGCGTTAATCTCAGGCAGTTCACTCACTGCCTCTCTCGCCAGATCCATCTCTCAGGTACGATCACCTCAAATTTATGCACATATATGCATACAAGCATGGATATGTATACGTCTATTTAGATTATGATGTGAAAATACTGTGTTTTAATTAGTATTTATGTGTTGATTTGAGGTTTCCAGTGAGCGATTTGTGTTAAATTTTGATTTTTCTTCGCGTTTGTTGAGTTCAATTTATATTTCTTGAATTGAATGTCATTTTTATAAGAAGGAATAATTAACTCGGTCTGAGCTAACTTTACACGGATTTAGAAATGCGTTATTGTTATTTCTGGATTTTCTTTTGTGTTGTGATCTGATCTGACCATTTTTCTGTGAAAACATTTCGATCTGGTGGAATTTTATTTTGATTAGACATGTATACATGTATGTGTTAGATTTGGGAACAAAGCCTCTGAGGATCTAAACTTTTGGTTTTTTGTCTAATGAAATTGTTGTAGGTATTTGGCGTGATTGTTTTTTCCTTTGATTTTATGATTTCTCATCCGATCTACAATGCTTTATTGTAATAGTTGACTTATAACTCTAAATGTTGTACATTTTTAGGAAAATTTTGAATGTTATTTGAGATTTATCTGTTTGCTTGTACGTGTGGTTTATTTCTATGTATATTTACTGTATTAAGGTCTGCATTTAAATAAAAGGTGATTGAAAATGAACAACGCTCCATGCGTATACATATTAATTTCACTTTACGTATAGCTTCTAATTATTTGATTGTTCATATCATATATCTTCATGTATATATGTTCTCATTTGTTCATTGACAATAGCCATGTATATGTGCAATCAATCATGGCATATTTTATGCAATACTACATGGAAATGATTGTACATGTAAACCTGGTTTTGTCTCCATTTGAGGTCATTTTGGTGTAGTGTTCTGTATGTGAGGATGATCATGGTGTAGGTGTGTGCCATTCTTAGAAGCATGCATAGATGTTTATGATTGTGTATGTTTTAACATGTTAATTGTGGCATAGTATGTGAAGTTTAAAAGTGAGGATAAGAAATCAACACTATCACACAATAGATCATTGTGCTAAATATACCTATGATAAAGAAATTTCAGTTTGCCTAACCACATCTTTTGTTCTGTTAGAAATTTTGTCTTGGCTCATACATGAATTTACTCGTATGAATTGTGAAATCAGATTTATTAATGTATTTTAGTCTTGACTGGCACCTCATTATATGTAGGGATCGAAAACTAGAAAGAGAAATGGGGCTGACATTCACGAAGCTCTTCAGCCGGCTTTTCGCCAAGAAGGAAATGCGCATTCTGATGGTTGGCCTTGATGCTGCTGGTAAGACCACCATTCTGTACAAGCTTAAGCTCGGAGAGATTGTAACTACCATTCCTACCATCGGTATGCTGTCTTATTCTTGCAAACTTTGCAACTCTGTTTCTTTTAATTATCCATGGTGTATTGTAATTGATAAAGCAGATGTTGATCTCTTGTTTCTCAGTTTGGTTTTTATGAACTGCTTTTTAATATTTACTCTTTTGGTATCTACTATTCGTATGCAGGTTTTAACGTGGAGACTGTTGAGTACAAGAACATCAGCTTCACTGTTTGGGATGTCGGTGGTCAGGACAAGGTGGGAACTTTTGTTTTAATCCTATTCTATGATCAATCTGAAACTATGTTTTATATTTCTATAAATGAAGTTGAGTCAATGTTTAACATTTAACTCAAAGGGCTTTCTGTCATCTGTTTCTGTGATCCTGGTCGTTCTGAGCATGGAAGAAACATTCACTTTCTTTCGTGGAACTACCATGCATGTAATGATTAACTAAGTTAGCTAGTCCCTCCCACAGATCCGTCCATTGTGGAGGCACTACTTCCAAAACACTCAAGGGCTCATATTTGTGGTGGATAGCAATGACAGGGATCGTGTTGTGGAGGCAAGGGATGAATTGCACAGGATGTTGAATGAGGTAAAACTTCCTATCTTAACTCTGTTGATGCAATAACTTTAAGACGTGAAGCTCATCTTGTGACTAACTCTGGGCAGATAATGCTTGAACTATTGCTTTATGAAAATAGGAATGAAGGAATTTTATCTTATAATGTGTAATTGGGGGTTGGATCGATATATAGAAGAATATTTTTAGATATATTCCAGAGACCATATTTTATTATCTGTCTATATATTTAGTTTGCTCCAACAAGCATCTTTTTAAGAGAATTTCTGCAATTTCATGTCCATTAATAATTTGTTAGAAAAAAGATATGAGTGCTCATCTTTAGACCAGTTCCCTTTCTAAAATATAGTTCGAAGGTGTTATATCTACAATATTCAATATACTGCATGATATGAGGAGGGTTAACAAAATTTGTGTGCTTTTACGAGTTTATATAGCTTCAGATAACTTGAAAGAGAATTGCTGTGACCACTGCAAATGTCTTGCTTATCAAAATAAACATTACAAAATAACAGGTACATTCGAAAGGTTTGATAGCTGCTTAACACATTAATTGAGAAGGGTGTGAAACAATTTCCATGCCTATAGGGGTAAAGGAATGCACGATAGGCTAGTTTCTTTGTGTAGACTTAGTGGTAAAGGTAAACCGGAAGTTAGATAATGACTAATGAGAGCCATGTAATTGATTGTCCTAGTGATGTAGAACGTAACACACAAAGAAACAGGGAAGAAGAGAAGAAGAAAGAGGGAAGAATAAGAAGAAATTGGTAAACTGCAACTTCATCAAGATATCAAATCTAATATTGCTTTCTTTAATAAATACTTATCTAATCATAATAGTCTTTGAACCAATCTCTTATTCATCAAAATCCCCATCACTTAATATGTCTTGAATGACTCTAGGAAATTTTGTTTAGAGCTCCTTTTATGTAGAAATGAATATTGGGTGGGTTAATACCTACAAGAGAATGCAAACAGTTTAGGCAGCTGAACTCTAGTTGACATGAGATCTTGAATCTCGTACCCAAGTAATGGCAGGGTTGGCCCTAAGGGGTGGCGGGCTAGAGGGGTATCCTAAGCATTGCACTTCTTAAGTGATGCTACTATTAGCCATTTCTGATGTTATTATGCATTAAACTCGTTAGTAGGCATAAAATAATTATGTTCACGTGTTGGTTCAAATTCATTGGCCCCTTGCTTCAGGATGAGCTGAGAGATGCTGTATTGCTTGTATTTGCGAACAAACAAGATCTTCCCAATGCAATGAATGCTGCTGAAATAACAGACAAGCTTGGCCTGCACTCGCTGAGGCAGCGTCACTGGTAAAAACTATGCTCTTAAATCTTGGTTCTCTATTGGTCTTTGCATCTACTTGCTGTTGTATCATTGTTTACCTTGGTTTCGCTTGCTTCCAGGTACATCCAGAGCACCTGTGCTACCTCCGGAGAGGGGCTTTACGAGGGTCTCGACTGGCTCTCAAACAACATTGCTAACAAGGCAAGTACTGTAGATGTGTTCATCAGACAATGTCTCGATACTTGATGTGCTTTCTGCTTTTGTATTCGTTTCTTATCCAGCTGTTCGGTTTCTTACAGTCACTCCCTTCTTGCAGGCATAATGCTTTATGGAATTGTTTATGCGTTGATGCTGGATGCGAGTTGGTTTTTATCTAGTCTTATACCTACATATAGTTTGTGTGTGATGAATTTTAATACGAGTCTTTTGGTTTTTGTTTAGGACTTCTTATGCTATTATCACAGAGCTAAGTTTTATGTGATTGCAAACATATGTGTACTTATATAATGCTATTGATACCTTATCTGATTTTGATTGAAATTCTTTTTTGATCCCATTTTTTATTTTAATTTTTGTTATTTTTTATTATTGCAATTTTTGAACTTTTACTACGACAAATGTGTGATTTGACAATTAAATTGACAAATCTATTTTATTTTTTGAAAGGTACTCGTCATTGAAGCTGTCTGTCTTTGAATTAATTTAGTTATTTACAATCATTATAACACCCTCACTTTCCTTCCCACGTCATTATCAAGATTTGTAAATACTAGAATCCATTTAGATTTGTTGGATACTACCACCTCCTAAAGATTTATGAGGCTAAGCGACACCTTTTCTTTATGTGTATATCCCATTTTGGATCATGCCATTTGTACGTTCATTTTTTATACCCTTGTTGATATTTGCATTATTGTCCACAAATAATTGAATGAAAAAACTGCATTTTTTTTAAACTGTTAAATTGGAAAATGTCATGTGGCAGAGTATAAGCACTGATGTACATTAAGCAAGATTTACCTTTCACAATTTTGAAATTCCAGGCAACATTTATTAGTCTCTTCCTATCATTTTTTGATGGTTACGTCAAAATAAAACAAAGAGGATTACTGAAATTTCTATATGACAGTATATTACATATTTGTAAGTTTAATAGAAAGAATAAAATATGTAACATAATCTATTTCAAATATATTCAAAATAATTCTTAATTTGTTTTTACAATGAGTGGGCTTGAAAATGCCAAGTTTCCAGCCTAAATGGTCCAATTCTATTGTAAAGGGACCGACCCTTTGAGGGCGAGGAGCACTTGCAAGTTCGTTTCATTTTTTGTGCCTTTTGGACACATTTGTTCTTAAATAGTATAATTGCTGACGCAGATGATCACTATTCCAAGAATGAGACTTTACTATCACAGCAGCTCATTTGTTTTGGTTCACGAATGGGTTCTTTACGAAAATAAACGGCAAATAGTCATAGCACGTTTAATAATGTTCGTATTGGTAGGAATCTACATCTAATTTTTTCATCCAAAAGGTCTTTTACTAAAATTGATATTATCTTTCGTCAATTCATCTTCTTCCTCGCCCTTTCCCTTATCCTTATCAATCTAGATCCCCTTTCACCACGTCCACCCTTCCCGTCCCCTTGGTCTTGCCCTTCCTCAACCAGCTTCCCGGTCTTCCAATCCATGGTGGACACATGAGGAAGATACCTAAGAGAATAGGAGATAAGCTCTTACCTTAGATCCTTATAATGCATCTTTTCAGATTTTGTATTGAAGGTGGGCATAACTAGGATCCCTCAAATCTTCTCAAGGTCAAGAAAGAAGACAACATGATTGCGAGAAAGATAAGAATATTTTCAATATCTCAACAAGAACAAGAACAGTCATTTTACCTAAACTTAGTAAATGATTTTCATCAACAATTCTTCATATCATACTTCTATAGTACATGTTGGCTCAAATTACATGCATATATCATCTAATTTTGAAATTAAAAACTCATAATAAGGAATTCAAAATAGAGAAGGTAGAAGATACAATGTATATCCATGGACCCCTTGATGGAAGGTCAAGTAACACAATAATTTTACATGGTTTCTCTTTTGGCTCGAGTCAAATAAGATTCTATATTGAGATTTTGCCATATGGCTTCTTTCTAGTTTAAAATACTTCCCACGAATTATTATAGACTTCTAATTCTTTCACTTATCATTGGAATCATAATTTTTTCTCATTCCATACACTTTATGTATATATGATATACGGTTAATTTTACACATGACACTGAATTTTGTACATAGTGTTACATTGGACATTAAATTTTAATTTGATTTGGAACTCATCATAGAGCTTTATAAAATGTTTCATTTAGACTATTGACTCAATTTGACATCCATTTTATAACTGAAACTTCTATAAATGATGGCAAAAATGCAAACCCATCTCATATGGCCTCGTCTCATATGTGGTAAGGAGAAGGGGAACATGGTCCCATCTCATAGCGTAACTTTATTTTTCATGTTTTTCAAATGAATCTATTTAAGAATAAATAACGTTAAAAAATAATTAATTAAACGGGTGGGGGTAATGGAGAGATTTTAACGTCGACGTTGTCTTGCTCCCATCCTGCCTTCCGAAAATCCCTTATGGGAAGGTATGTCATTTAATCCCCAACTCCGCCTCACCTCTTCTGTTAGATATTTTTCATCATTTTGCATGTATTTATTTCTGTTTTGCGAATGATTTGCCGCCCCAACCAATGTTTGCCGCTGCGCAACGGGGATCGACCTGCCCAATTAGGTAGGGGGTCGAGGGGGCAGCGCCCCCCATGGGGGCTCGGGGGCAACGCCCCTGAAAGAAAACTTTATTTTAGAAGTTTTTGAATAGATGCATCTGTTCGTTTTTTAACAGTCACCTCCAGTAGATGTATGCAAGGGACACACCTATTCAAACGATTGCTTCAATTTCTATAAATTCTGGACGAATTCTCGTTTGTAAAACACATTAAACAATTTATTCTTCTTTCTTTCTCTTGGCATTAATCAGTTATTTTCGAGTGTCTTCTTGGTTTGATCAAATAGTCACAATTTGAATCAAACGTCTCCATTGTATCCTGAGAGAGATTTTCTATCATATCCCAGTTGTGACTTTGTTGGATAGGGGAGAAACATTTCTTCAAAGATAATTTTTTTTTCGTGCCTTGGAGTTCATTAAAGTATTCAAATTTCCGTATATTTTATAAACATCTTCGTCATCACTAATGACTATTTGACAAGTTATCAAATTGTTATGATTTTTCAGTTAAGGTAGTAGCTAAACAATTTTTTTTTTTTTTTTTTTTAACTTTTCTAGTTAAAAACTTATTTTATTTTTATTGATAAAGTTGAAACAAATTAAAGTTCAATTTCCAAGATAACATATAAAGTTCAGTTACCATTAATGATATTAATCCACATATTTTTTCAAAATTTTGCTTTAATAAAAGCTTTTGCATCTTCTAACTTTTTTGACATCTTTCTTCCTTGATAAAAAGAGGGATGCCAGATTCCTTTCATATTAGGAATTATTGAAGAAACTCTCCAATTAAACTTGTTTCAAGCTCTCTCTAATATATATATATATATATATATATATATATATA